TGTTTTACAGACATAAACCCTCATGTTGAGGGCCAATATAAAAATGTTAACAGTAAGAATAATGCATGCTGGTTATTGTTTTACAGACATAAACCCTCATGTTAGGGCCAATATAAAATGTTAACAGTAAGAATGATGCACATGCTACATTGTTTTACAGATATAAACCCTCATGTTAGGGCCAGTATAAAATGTTAACAGTAAGAATGATGCATGCTTGTATTGTTTTACAGATATAAACCCTCATGTTAGGGCCAGTATAAAATGTTAACAGTAAGAATAATGCATGCTACATTGTTTTACAGATATAAACCCTCATGTTAGGGCCAATATAAAATGTTAACAGTGAGAATAATGCATGCTACATTGTTTTACAGATATAAACCCTCCTGTTAGGGCCAGTAAAAATGTTAAACAGTAAGAATGATGCATGCTGTATTGTTTTACAGATATAAACCCTCATGTTAGGGCCAAAATATAAAAATGTTAACTGAGAATAATGCATGCTACATTTTTTACAGACATAAACCCTCATGTTTGGCCAATATAAAATGTTAACAGTAAGAATGATGCATGCTGTATTGTTTTACAGATATAAACCCTCCTGTTAGGGCCAGTATAAAATGTTAACAGTGAAAATGATTCATGCTACAGTGTTGTACTGGCATAAAACCCTCATGTTGAGCCAATATAAAAAACTTCATGGTTAGAACAATTTCATGCACCTTTGTTGTACAGACATAAAACCCTCATGGTTGGCCAATATGAGAATAATATATTGTTGTACAGACATAAACCCTCATGTGGATAAACTTCTCATATAAAATGTTAACTGTTGAAAAGTAATGCATATTGCCTTTAAAATGTAGAAAGTTAACAATAGATGTGTGGGATATCGTTTCTGGTGGTTATAGTGTGACATTGTTGTGATTTTTGAACAATTAGTTTTATCATATTTATAAGCAACGCTTAACTAACAAATTAACCTCATAGATGTATTTTTTATGTTCAAATGATGCAACAAACAGTAAAATATCTTCACTAATAGGGTTTTCGTGTTGGAGACAAGGAAAACAAACGGAGATAGAAGTTAAAAAAATTCTGGAAAAAATGTCAAACATGTATTGGGTGTTTCCCCTTGCCCGGTCGCTTTAATACACGTTTTGACTGTAATGTTTTTTAAAATTGCACATGCAATGATCTCATAACAGTTATGTGCTGACTAAAAAAAAAGCTGAGCAAATTCTTTAAACTGCATGACTCCAGAAAAGCCAAAAAAACTTCAAAAAAAAATCAAACTTTAGAAAAAATTTACAAAGATTTTAAGAAGAGTAAAAAGATTCAAAAGGTTCATGAAATAATTTACATGTTGTGTGTTTAATAACTGATTTTGCAGTATTTATTATCATATTTCTACTGCGTGACTAACGCAGTAAAGACTATTTTTTGCATATTTTGACCTCTTTTTTGTCTACTAAACATGGAAGAAGTTGGATTGTAAGTGCCAATTTGCAATGTGTAAATTACATTCTTTTGTTCACTTTCACAATATTTTACTTTTTCAAAACTCTTTTTAAAATTTTTCTTGTAAATAAAGCATGAATCTGGAAGCATACTGCTTTTAGAGCCAATTTTCACATTCATTGCAAAAGAAAAGTAAATAAGGGGCTGCCACTCTTGTTAAGTGAGCTAAATATTATGTAAATCGAAAAAATATCTTTTATTTAATAATAATTTTTAATATATTACTTTTGTGATTTCAGAAATGGCATAGCTTTCACAAGCTGGACAAAAAATTGGGTGTACCAATTGAACTTTGGGCTGGGGCATTCAAGGTCATTGAAGGTGAGAAACTTGAAGCTTTGGGTGGTGTTTTTGTTTTGACTTTATACTTGTTGATAATTACTTTTTCATTTTTGAATTGAAAATTTGTTGTATGTCTATTTTTACATTTTTTTTATAACCCCGGAAAACTTTTTGGGAATTAAATGATTTTGTAAATTTTTTTTTTGATTGGGTTTTTTATGTCACAACAACAACAGGATAGGTCGACGTTCCAGCTTTACGGACGGAGGAAGATCTCGGGTTCCCTTCCATGCATTATTCCAGGCTCGAACGGGCATTTGAGTATAACCACCAACATTCCGTAATTGATCTGCAGAAAGTATCAAAGTCCTGGCAGGATTTGAACCTAGAGCAATGAAGGGGCAAAGTGGTTTGAAAGCCAACAACCTTAAGCCATGACCAAGGTCATCCCCATTGTCAGAGTGAAATACAAAAAAAAGACATTAATCATTTTTAAGTGTCTTTTTTTAATTAAGTATTTAAAGTTAGATTTTTAAAACTGAAATCTATAAAGAAATGATTTTGTCATTGAAGTGTTTAATTGAAAAAAAAAATAAGGTTAGATTTATCAAATTTTAAAATAAACAAATTGAAGAAGAAAAAAAAGACACCTATCTTAATAATTTTTTTTTACACAATCAATCTTTAACCCATAAGACAATTTAATCTTCATGTTTTTGAATTGATTGTTATCTTGTTTAATTTTATTGTTTACCTAAGCCTAAGAATCTTTGTTTAGTGTTTGAATGATAAAGTAATGTTTAACAAGCCATCTAGTAAATCTGATTTCTTGAACACAGTAAATGTAAGAATAAAAGTACTAAAAGCACTGACAAAAGGCGAATTTCAAGTTTGAAAAGTTATTCCAAGATATCTTTCAGATCACACCCTGTCAACCACTTTAAGATATCATATGAAGGTGATATGGCCATCCAAAACTGATTACAGCAGGACAGTCTTGTTCCTTAACTAATTATATCTGTAAATGGAATGGGTACTCCAGACTGAGAGGGATGGGAGTTTCAGTCTATGAGAGGGATTGGTATACCAGTTTGTGAGAGGGATTGGTATACCAGTTTGTGAGAGGGATTGGTATACCAGTTTGTGAGAGGGACTGGTTATACCAGGTTTGTGAGAGGGATTGGGTATACCAGTTTTGTGAGAGGGATGGGTATACCAGTTTTGTGAGAGGGATGGTATACCAGTTGTGAGAGGGATGGGTATATTAGTTTGTGAGAGGATTTGGTATACCAGTTTGTGAGAGGGATTGGGGTATACCAGTTGTGGGAGGGATTGGTATACCAGTTTTTGAGAGGACGGTAATACCAGTTTGGTGAGAGGGGATGGTGTCCTAGACTGTGAGAAGGGATGGGTATACCAGTTTGTGAGAGGAATGGGTTATACCAGATTGTTAGAGGGATTGGTATAACCAGTTTGTGAGAGGGATGGGTGTCCTAGACTGTGAGAGGGATGGGTATACCAGATTGTTAGAGGGATGGGTGTCCTAGACTAAGAGGGATAGGTATACCAGTTTGTGAGAGGGATGAGTGTCCTAGACTGTGAGAGGGATGGGTATACCAGTTTGTGAGAGGGATTGGTATACCAGATTGTGAGAGAGATGGGTGACCTAGACTGTGAGAGGGATTGGTATAACCAGTTTGTGAGAGGGATGGGTGTCCCAAGACTGTGAAGAGGGATGGGTATATACCAGTTTGTGAGAGAGATGGGTGTCCTAGACTGTGGGAGGAATGGGTATACCAGGCTGTGAGAGGAATCAGTATTTCAGGTTGTGAGAGGAATGGGTATACTTGTTTGTGAGAGGGATTGGTATACCAGTTTGTGAGAGGGATTGGTATACCAGTTTGTGAGAGGGATTGGTATACCAGTTTGTGAGAGGGATTGGTATACCAGTTTGTGAGAGGGACTGGTATACCAGTTTGTGAGAGGGATTGGTATACCAGTTTATGAGAGGGATTGGTATACCAGTTTCGTGAGAGGGATGGGTGTCCTAGACTGTGAGAGGGATGGGTATAACCAGATTGTGAGAGGGATGGGTGTCCTAGACTAAGAGGATAGGTATAGCCAGTTTGGTGAGAGGGATGGGTGTCCTAGACTGTGAGAGGGATTGGTATACCAGTTTGTGAGAGGGATGGGTGTCCAAGACTGTGAGAGGGATGGTATACCAGGTTGTGAGAGAGATGGGTGTCCTAGACTGTGTGAGGGATGGGTATAGAACCAATTGTGTGAAGGATTGGTGTCCTAGACTGTGAGAGGAATGGAATATATAACCAGATGTGTGAGAGGGAATCAGTATTTCAGGTTGTTGAGAGGGATGGGTATACCAGTTTTGTGAGAGGGATTTGGTGTCCTAGACTGTGAGAGGGATGGGTATACCAGATTGTGAGAGGGATGGGTATACCAGTTTGTGAGAGGGATGGGTATACCAGTTTGTGAGAGGGATGGGTATACTAGATTGGTAGAGGGATGGGTGTACAGAACTGGTGAGAAGGGATTGGTTATACCAGTTTGGTGAGAGGGAATGAGTGTTTCCTAGACTGTGAGAGGGATGGGTAATAGACCTACCAAGTTTTGTGAGAGGAATGGGTATTTCAAGTTTGTGAGGGGATGGTTGTTCCAGACTGTGAGAGGGATGGGTATACCAGATTTGGAGATGGATGGGTGTCCTAGACTGAGAGGGATTGGTTTTTCTAGTTTGTGAGACGGATGGGTAATCCATTTGGAGAGGGATGGGTGTTTCAGTTTGTGAGAGGGATGGGTGTTCCAGTCTGTGAGAGGGATGTGTATACCAGTTTGTTAGAGGGATGGGTGTTCAAGTCTGTGAGAGGGATGGATATTCCAGTCTGTGAGAAGGTTAGGTATTCCAGTCTTATTGGCAGGGAAAGGCTTACATTAATCTTCTTTCTTTTTTGCAGAACTTTTTTTTATATCAGGAAAACAATCTTTTCTTATTATTTCAGGTCATTTTGGACAATCTAGTACGGTATCCTATTTTCGTTTTCTACGTTGGTTGAGTTTCTGAACCTGTTATGCACCCTCATAATGTTTTGTGTTGTTCTTCTGCCCTTCTTATCCCTGGATGTTGGCGGAAGTTTTGTATCGTCTGTGGAATGCCTGCTCCTCCTATACCGAATAACATGGCTTGTAGTCTCTATACGTTAAACTACACTGCAGATGTTAAATCAAAAGTCAACCAATCCAGTACCGCTGAGAAAGTTCAGGATGTTCTTCAAGGAACGGTATGTTCATTACATATAATTCTATGGTAACAGCAATAGTTTTGTTTATTGATGACTTTATCAACAGAAATATTGTTGTTTATTGTCAATAGAGGTACTTGGGAACTTGGCAAATATGGGTTTTTCCCCATCTAATTCCGGGTACAAACAAAGTTGGTTAATATATTGATGATAAGGGCTATGCCTTGATTACCACTCTATTGTGAAGGGTAATGTACCCTGAAGCTATTACAGTAAAAGGTTGTTTGTATCTCAGGATAAGATAGGGGAATACCCACATTTACCAAGCTCTGGGTAACATCTATACTCAACTAGAATATAGCCACATGCAAGGTCTTTCTTCCTTCTGGTGAATTTTACATGGACTATGGTAATGAGTGATTTAAGTTAGGTTTGACAGTTGCGAATTGTGAAGGTTGTATAAATGACCCTAAAGTTTTTAGATGTAGGAAGATCAGGGATGCCAATATGCCTTGTAAAATATATGTCTTGTTTTCCATTGCTCTTCTTATCCAACTCTTAAAATATTATATCCAAAAATATGCAAGTAAGATCTGTTTGAATAAGGTTTTGTATTATAAACTATTAAAACAAAAACATTTTAAGTTTAACTTTTTGCAAGGTAATTTCAGAATGTTACGTATTTAAAGAAGTATATGTTTAACCAGTTGATGAATTTTAATGGGAAAAAATATGACATATACTGTATATATACATATATATATTCTAGGGTTGGATGGAGAATACTGTGTTATTTTATGGGGCCTATCACAACAAGACGGCTTACCTGATTACAGGAGATGCGTTCACATATAACATGTCCCTCGCTTACCTTTGTGCTGTTGGTCTCACCTTTATGCTGAGCTTTATACTGCTTGTAAAAAAGTAAGTATGTTATCTTATTTTATAGGCTATTGTATTTTTAGCTTGACTGTTTGAAGAATAGGAAGAGCTTGGTATAATCACCCTGGCGTCTTGGTCAGTGACACATTCTGTATAAAGCAGCACGCCTCCCGATCATGCTAATTTTCATGAAAATTTTAAAAATGTATTTGAATGTGTTATATTGTGAAGTAACCATGGGGAACAAATTTACACATTATCAATGACACTTACAAGCCACATAACATAACCAAAAAGTGGTCAAAATATGCATAAATAGCCCTTACTGCATTAGTAATGCAGTTGAAATATAGTTTTAAATAATGAAAAATCAGTCATTAATCACACATAATATGTAAAATATAACTTGAATCTTGAAAATTTTTACTTTTCCTTACATCTTAGTACATTTTTTTCAAATTTAATTTTATTGAAATATTTTGACTCATCTGGAGGCATGTAGCTTTAAGTTTATATGTGCAAGTTGATATGTCAATAAATACTATCCAAAAGTCACTATCCAAGGTCAATAGCTCTGACATTGCTTTTGACACTGACTGGCATCCTATATGTAACAGGCAGATATGTTGTTGTTAACAATAGCAGAATTAAAAGCTGACTGCAAATATTACTTCCAAATCATTTTAATTGTCTTATTGTAAAATTCTGGTCAAAATATAAGCAGGGATTAGTTTCCATGGAGATTAAAATTAATCTTCACGTCATCCTGGTTTTATTCATATTGACTATTAGAAAAAAAAAAAAAAAATGGTAACAAGTAAGATATTTTAGACAATGTGAAATAGTGCCCTTTCTTAAAAAAATTTTTAAAATCTTTTTCTAAAAAATATTATGTTTTTTAATTTTTTTTTTTTTTTAAAAATAGGGTTCCCTCTTTGGGGCCCCAATGCAAAAAAAACAAAACAACAACAACAAAAAAAAACCAAAAAAAAGTTTTCATTTAGATAGATACATAGGAAAAGGAGATTTTTGTGTTTGGCTTTAAAAAGGGTAAAACTTTCCCCCCTTAAGTTACGAACATTTTAAGTTATTTTTCAATATTTTGGAATTGGCAAAACTTAAAAGACTTGGGGTGTTCCTCCCCCCCAAAGGCACTTTTCTTGGGTTTTATATCAACATTACAGTTACTAAAGAAATAAATATGTTTAAACTTTTAAAACAAAAGGGGAAAAGACAAATTTTTCTACAATTTTAAAAAAATAATGTGAAGAAAATGTTGAAAAAGGTACATAATTTAATAAAACAGGTTTTTTTGCACAATTATAAAAATCTAAAAGAACAAAAAATAAAACAAACTGCAAACATGCATTCAAATGAATGGGCAAAAATATTGAAAATGTTGTTTTTTTCATTTACTTAAGGTAAAACATGTCATTAGATTTTTTTTTTTATTGTTATGGTGTTATTAAGACATGTTTTCATTATTTATAATATTATGGCATTATTTTGGATAGGCTTTTATGTTATCTCTCGTAAAAATGTTTACATTGTTTATGATCAGAAGGAAAGATAACCTGAACAAAGATAAATGATTAACATGGTTTATCAGTATATCACTGGTTGTCACCCTTGGCTAAATCAAGTGTGTTATCTATAAATAGCTTCTAAACCGGAAATGAACCAGTTTAATATTCTCTTTGTTACATATTTCAACAAATATCCAGTTTATTTTAAAACATTGATTTTTTTTGGCATGGTTAATTCAAATTTCAGTTGAAGATATAGTTAGTTTTATATACTATAATAAAATTAATCATTTTATATTTCAGATTTATTATTATTCATGTATTTTTATTGATATTTAAAAAGTTAAATTAGTCACCATACTCCAGTTGTAAAATTTGTTGTATATAAACCTTAAATTTTGCGTTTGATGTTAACTCTGGTTTCACTACAGTCACGAATAAATCTTTCGCCTTTTACTAAAGATTTCCGTGCAGTGGAACAATCAATGAGTCTATAGACTTATTTCTGAAATCCTTCTAACGAAGGATACTTAAACAATTTAATATATGATAATCATGTTATCATTATTTTATAAGTGTTATGATTTTGTTTAAAATGCAAAATCCAACTATTCATTGGTATATAGTTATGAAAGTTGTGACTGATTCTTTCTATATTGTCATATCTTATTCCTTAGCAAGTAGAGCTGAGTCTTGACTGGGATTCATGCTCAGATTACTATCATCATTGTTCAGCCTGTTAGTTGCTTTATCTGACACTAACCTATTCATCAACACTGACAGGCATCCTATATTTTACAGGCATATGATGTTGTTAACATAGCAGAATGAAAAACATTGCATAACACAAGAAAGCCCAACACAGCAAAATTGTAAAATGTTGCAGGCTAGGTTTGATTGAGCCTGTTCATGGATGGTACTGAAAAGTGCAAGTTACTGTCCACACCCCCTAGCACCGGCTTAAGCAGAATTCAACATTTAAACACAAAAATGGTCATTCAAATTGGCTTATTGAATTGTTTTGTCAAGATAGGGAATCATAAATTACTTAAATTCTTTCTGTGAAGATTCAAACTTAACTGCATGTCATCCCAATATCATTTGTATTAAATACAGTGTAAGGAAAAATGAGAAGAGTATATTCAGTACCATGTTTTAGACAGAGTGAAATGGTCAAGAATCTTTTCGTAATATTTAAACATTTTTGAACAAAGACTAATGATCAACATGGTTGTTATCAGGATATCACTGGTTGTTGCCCTTGGCCAAATCTCTAAATAGCTTCTAAGCTGGAAATAAACCAGTTTAATATTCTCTTTGTTACATATTTAAACAAATATCTAATTTATTTAAAAATGTTGGATTTTTTTTTCATGGTTAACTCAAATTTAAGTTGAAGATATAGTTAGTTTTATATACTATGATAAAATTAATCATTTTATATTTCAGATTTATTATTATTCATGTATTTTTTATGGATATTTTAAAAGTTGAATTGGTCACCATACTCCTGTTGTAAAATTTGTTGTATATAAACCTTAAATTTTGTGTTAAAAGTTAACTCTGGTTTCACTACAGTCACGAATAAATCTTTCGCCTTTTACTAAAGATTTCCGTGCAGTGGAACAATCAATGAGTCTATAGACTTATTTCTGAAATCCTTCTAACAAAGGATACTTAAACAAACCAATTTAAGATAAAAATGTTGTCAGTTTTTGTTAAGTGTTATGATTTTGTTTAAAACCATCATATTGTGATGTGGTAACAGATTGGTGATCTATATCATCACTTGAAATGCTGTAAAAATTGGTTGCATTTTATCAGTCTGTATATTAAAATATTCCCCCCCTGACCCTTTACCACATTGGTTGTTTTTGTTGATACATCTAAACAATGCCTGAGATAAAAAAGAAAATCCTGTTCATGAAATAAATTTTATGTTAAAAATAAAAATATTATTTTAAAAATCTTATTTGTTAGAAATACTGCAAATTGATTGGTGAAATGATACTAGTAGTTAAATTACACATTAAAATTGTATCCTTAATTTGTATTCTCACAAAAAAAGGGGTAAGAGTGATTTTTGAAAAGGGTCAAGTGACTATATAATAAATGCAAAAAAAATTTATATTGGGCTTATTCCAGGGTTTCAGAATTGTCTAAAACTCAAAATGTCTGGGGATGTGGTACTTTGTTTACAACTGAATGTTTAAAAATATACTCTGCTTGAGAAAAAATATTTTAATCACAGAAGTTTATTGAAATCTATGAAATCGTTATTGAATATGTCTATTTTGAATAATATAATGAATAAACTGATGTATGGGAAGCTGCGTTTCCTATTACAGGGAAAGAAAAAATTTCTTTTTCTTGAAAAAGGTGCCAGTTTATATTTCAATTCATATTGTAACCATTTGTTGTGTGTAGAATTATAAACCTAACCATGAGTATCTTCTTTGTGTGCTGCTTTGTCAAAACATGTTTATTTCTATGTTTACAAAGTAATCAATATTTTCTAATATGATTATCAAATTTGAGCATAGTATATCAAGATAGGACTGTAAGAACTTGACACCATAAGTATCTGTTATAGTTCGGCTAAAGGATTGAAGCAGAGTGCAGTATCATCAGTGGGTGGAAACATCACCATGTATTGTAATAAAGTGTTTGGAGCCTGGGATTACTGTATATCTGAATCCAAAACTGCTCAATTAAAACATTCCAACCTTCTCCAAGATTTTAAGGTAAGATTCCATCAAAGTATAACCAGAGAAAAACTGTTGTAAATGTCAAGATTTAAAAAACTATGATTTTTTTTATAAGATTACATTTTTAGAAGTTTTAAGACTGAAGTTAGTCTACCGGCTTAGCTCAATAGGGAGAGCATTGAATTATTAATTCATCTAAAGGTAGCAGGTTCGCTCCTCGGCCGAGGTAAAATGTCTACATGGCAATCGATCTCGAATATGAGTCTATTGGTCATTTGCCTCTTACAGCAGATTCAGAATCACCTGAGATTAGAAGTTTGTCACGTACGAAGAAATTAGACATTATTGGTCCTATATGTTTAGCTCAATAGAGAGAGCATTGGATAAGTAATTAATAGAACATGAGTCTCAGATTGGTCATTTGTCTGTCACCACGGATTCAGAAATCATGTAGGAGTAGAAGTCGGTCACTTCAGGAGAAATTTGTCATTATTGGTCATTAACCGAAACTGTCAATAGCATTATCATTTATACCTAGGCTATCGTCAGATATTTCGTGATTATAAAGATTTAAGACTTCTGCTATCTGTTTTACAATATAGTGATTCTTGTAACGAAATGAAAAAAATTAAAAACAGGACATTTTTTTTTCAAAAAACAGAATGATTTAGAGTACCAGAGGTTACAGTGGAAGAAAGCAAGTCGGACAGCAAAAGAAAAGTTCAAGTTATATTCAATACGGGTCCTTATTAACATTCTGGTGATAGCCATGCTTGGAGGGGCCTTGTACCTTATCTACTATACCAATGAACAACTTGTCACTGTAAGTGTCAATAACCCTTTCTTATTGTGTAATGTTTTTGTGCCTGAATAATACTTAGATATACAATGACTAGAAATATAATTCCTTTGCAAAAAAATAAATTTTCAAATGCCCGAAAGGGAGGTAAATAGTGTATTTCTGTTTGTCCGTCTGGTACAATCTCGTCTCCACTTCATCTCCACAACTAGTTGTCTGGTTTAAAGGAAAGCTTCGCTGAAATGATTCCACCCTTGTTATGCATTGTATTGTCCACCAGTGTTTGTTTGTTTGTCGTCCATCCAGTGCAGTTTTCGATCTCTGCACCTCATTTTTACAACCAGTAGTCTAATATCATCAAGCTTTGTTTTGCATTGCATTTGTACATTTCATTTGAATCAGATGTTTTTAGAGGTTTGGCCTCTTTAATATTTATACATAGGGTATGTAGAGGTATAATTTTGTGTGTACAAAAAATTTTGGTCTCTGTCTTTGTCTTTATCCTTTATTATATACAGAGAAATGCCAATGGAGGAACTATTAAACTGGCATCCTTTTATCCTATTGGTCACTTTTCATGCTATAATTTTGTTATTACACCATTTTCAGAATTCTCAGACATTAAATGAGACTGAGGCATTAATGATGCAATATCTACCTTCGATAACAATCATGCTGCTAAACGTTATCGTACCATTTATATTTAACAAGTTGGTTATAGCCGAAGACTACATGCCAGCTTTTGCCATCAGGATTACTCTCATTAGGTATGTAATAATATATAAATGAAAACTTGGGAAATATAAGTATGAAAAATCAGGAGATGCTTTAAGTATGCTAGATTTGCTAACTGTTTAGACAGGAATGTCTAACTTGAGGGTAATTGTTGAAGGCCTTCCACAAAGCTTTGCATAGTAACTACCTAACAGGTCCTGTGAGTCGAATATTTCTGTATGTTTTGGCATGGTGGTACCCAGTGTTTTATTCTTGCATATATTATATATTTATCAAAGTATGAAAAAACTTTCTTTCTTTCTAGCATAGCAATAATGATTTTTCATTGACTTAAAAAAGATTAACTGAATATCTAAGCTTAAGGTTGACATGCTGCAACAGTGATTTTAAGACAAATACGCAAGCTAGCCTGGCTCTATACTGTTAACATATGAGCCGTGTCACGACAAAACCAACACAGTGGGTTTGCGACCAGCATGGATCCAGACCAGCCTGCGCATCCGTGCAGTCTGATCAGAATCCATGCTGTTCGCTTACCAACCTTATTACAAGTAGAGAAACTGACAGCGAACAGCATGGATCCTGATCAGACTGCGCGGATGCGCAGGCTGGTCTGGATCCATGCTGGTCGCAAACGCACTGTGTTGGTTTTGTCGTGACGCGGTTCAAATTAGTTTTGGTTCCAGTATGGTAAAGATTACAGACATTTTATTAAACTTATTTTAGGACCGTATTGCTTAGATTATCATCACTGGGTATATTGATGATATCATTGTACACAAGTCTTCAACCGAAGAAGAGAGATCAGGAGGTTCTCTTACCATGTGATAATCTTATAATCGATCTGAAAAACAAAACAGGAATTACAACAACACCAGTTACAACAACAACAACAGGCAATACAACAACAACAACAAAATCATCATCTCAACTGGCAGATAACATGGTATGACTATTCATTCAATAGTTTTACTTAATGGAAAAAAAAATGAATAATGATGATTAAGGTCAAGGTCACTGTTACTAAAAATAGAAATTCTGTTTCAGCTCAATAACCTAAGTAAGTTTGACCTATTGACACCAAACTTTGTGTATGGATAGCTTATATCAAGAGGCAGCGTGGGATTGCTATCCAGGTGTCTGTCATCAAGGTCACTGTTACTTAAAGAGAAATTCAGTTTCAGCTCAATAACTTGAGTTTGCTTTGGCCTATTGAGACCAAACTTGATGTGTAGGTAGTTTATATCAAGAGGCAGCTTGGGATTGCTACCCAGGTGTCAGTGGTCAAGGTCACTGATACTTAAAATAAAATTTCTGTTTCTGCTCAATTACTTGAGTTTGCTTTGGCCCATTGACACCAAACTTGGTGAATGGGTAGCTTATATCAAGAGGCAGCTTTGGATTGCTACCCAGGTGTCTGTGATCAAGGTTAATGTATTCAGTTTTCACGTAATAACTTGAGTTTGCTTTGATATTTTGACACCAAACTTGCTGAGTGGCAGCTTTGGATTGCCACTTAGATATCTGGGAGCAAGGTCAAGGTCATTTGCTTACAATAGAATTTTCAGCTTCTACTCAATAACTTCAGTGCACTTTGACCTATTGATTACTGTCACATCAAAACTTGGTCGTTGAAAACCTGGTTTTCGTCGCATTGCGGCACTTCTTGTATTAGTTTTAAACTACCAATTTGAAGGCGACTTTGTGTTTGGTTATGACAACTCTTATTTATTCAAATGTTATTTTAAAAGAATTTGTACATGCATATGAATATACTGAGATTTATTTTCAGTGTTGGGAAACATATGTAGGGCAACAGATCTACAAACTCGTGATGCTGAACTTCATTGTAGTAGTACTAAGCACTGTATGTGGAGAATTCCCTAGAAAGTAAGTGTTTTTGTTTGCTATTGGAAAAAGAAAATTTCCTTGGAAGTAAATTTGTTTGTTTGTTATTGGATTTTGAGGATACCCTAGAAAGTTTGTTTGTTTGTTTGGTATTTTAAATTTAGAATTTCTTAGAAAATTTTCTTCTCTATCGAAAATTAAGAATTCCTAAGAAAGCAAGTTTGTTTGTTTGTTATTGGAAATTTAGAGTTCCTTAGAAAGTATGCTTGTTTCTTTGTCAATGGAAATTGAGCGTTCCTTAGAAAGCACGTTTGTTTCTTTGTTATTGGAAATTGAGAGTTCCTTAGAAAGCATGTTTGTTTTTTTGTTATTGAAAATTGAGAGTTCCTTAGAAAGGGTTTTTTTGTTATTGAAAATTGAGAGTTCCTTAGAAAGCATGTTTGTTTCTTTGTTATTGGAAATTGAGAGTTTCTTAGAAAGTATGCTTGTTTCTTTGTTATTGGAAATTGAGAGTTCCTTAGAAAGCAAGTTTGTTTCTTTGTTATTGGAAATTGAGAGTTCCTTAAAAAGCATGTTTGTTTCTTTGTTATTGGAAATTGAGAGTTCCTTAGAAAGCATGTTTGTTTCTTTGTTATTGGAAATTGAGAGTTCCTTATAAAGCACGTTTTTTTCTTTGTTATTGAAAGAGTTCCTTAGAAAGCATGTTTGTTTCTTTGTTATTGGATATTGAGAGTTCCTTAGAAAGCATGTTTGTTTCTTTGTTATTGGAAATTGAGAGTTCCTTAAGCAGCATGTTTGTTTCTTTGAAACCTTGAAATATCCTTGACCTTGTTTATTTACAGAACCAGGTATGCTGCTAGGCATGCAATCATTATTAACTTTATTTTCCATTACCTTTCAGGTTTGTGTATGATAAACTTCATGACAAATTGAAAGTAGTAAATTTGGTCGGACAACAGGTTTTTGACCTTTCAAAAAATATCCTTGACCTTGTTTATTTACAGACTCTATGCTGGTATGTATTAGAAGACATTTGCAAAGGATTGTTTTAAGAAAGAAAAACTGTTTAGCTAGCTGACTGACTTGGCGGTTCTAATGAGATGCCTGTTTGTGCCTTAACTTTGCTGAAAGGGGCACTTGTCTCCAATAGTAAGACTAGAAAGTTGCCATATGACCTGAACAGTGACATTTTCTATAAAATATACACATATAGCCAATTGTCAGTTGTATGGACATACTTCAATTCCACGATATACTATACGAATCTTACACAGGCTGCTGGTACAGACCGGAATATCTACCTCAAGGCTTAAATTAAATTCTAACGGTGCTAACGTGGTTCTGTCATGTTCCTTCAAAACAGTAACCCAATAATCTTGTCTGTGACAAATTTGAGTGTTTGATTCTTTTCTTGCCTATTACATATAAGTCATATTTCAGAAAGAAATTTCATTTTGCATTTGTTTCTCATAGAAGCATAATTTTGAATTTATAACTTCATTCATAACTGATTAAAAAATATTTGAAAATGTAAATGTAATGAAATGAAAAATTAGGTCCTCTTTTAACTAGAATTTGTTATATAAACTTATTGTATCCATAGTTCTATATATTTTTATATTTCAGGCTTGGGTTGTTTTTCAGTCCAATCATTCCTGCCATGTGTTTTGTTAAATGTTTCATTTTCTTCTATTTGAAAAAGGTAGGTGTATATAATAATAATGTCTGGAATTCTATGTTTTCAAATCCAGCTTGCAACATTTCCACTTTTGCCATGTTGGGCTTTCTTTAAGGTTCCCACTTTGATTATTTAATCTTTGAAAAACAGTAATTGTATAACCTATTGGAGATGGAATATATATAAGCCTATCTGAAGAAAAGATTAAGATTTTATAACGCAATTTGACCCCTCACCTAAAGAGCCAAGAGATCAGGACTGGCACCTAACTAAACAGATTCTTGAGAAGTTGATCTTTTTGGCGTCCGCGCCAAAGCGCGGCGCCTCTTATGGAATGAAATCAGATTTTGTGAAAGGGCAATTGCACTTTCTCGGGCCTTTTAGTCGGTCATAATAGCCGATCTTTCCGATTGGATGGTGTTTTGATTATTAAAAATGAATAACGAACTGGAGAATTTTGCAATGCAAAAATATTCAAATGAAATAATCTTCTGTCAATTAATCGCGCTCTATTACTCGCGCTCTATGTTTTTTTTATTAATTATATTGTTATTATTTGGTTTAAACGTTACGTATTTCACACTTGCCATGTAAAATATATCTGATGGAATTGTCCATCTTGCAATATGGACTAGTAATTTATAATTTTTAGGGAAAATTTTGAAATATATACAGATTCAACCTTATTCTGCACCAGTTGCTTTGGCAAAATCAGAAGGCTGAGAGATAAGCTTGATTATAAATACAGCTTGTAGCTTGTTTGAACTACTCCTGGAACTAACCAGTACTGGTGTCATATTAGGAAACATGGACATGACCCCAGTAGGGATCAAACCCACATTTCCTAGGTTGCAAGACAGACACCTTTACCACTTGGCCACCACAATCCTGTTGTATTGATGATGTATTGCTACTTACAAATATTAAATAAAATGTTTAAACAAAATTGAATAATATCTTTAGATTAGCTTAGTGCATTCTCGTCTTTAGTAACTTCAAATTTGTCATTCTGAATTTCATAATGCACCCTGCATTACATTTTGGAACTATTCATTATAATTGTGAGGGATTTCACTATCTGATTGCTTAAAAATTAAACAAGCCAACAAGCTAAAGTCTGGTTAAAATCCTTTCTATGAACTGATGATCATGGCACTAGCATTTAACCCTAAACCTGCTGACTTAACTTTTATGCTCCCTGAAGGGTGAGCATATAGTCACCGCTTTGTCTGTCTCTCTGTCTGGGCTATTTAAGAGAAGTAGAGGCCATGTAGCTGTAAACAGAACAAAAGAGAACAATAAAGTTCATTCCATAACAATAGAATAAAGGGCCATGGCCCTCTATTTAACAAAAGGAAATAACAAAAGAAATGGCCACTTAGTCCATTTCAGTAGCACATCCGTCCGTCCATCTGTCCGCTTTTCTTGTCCGGGACATAACTTTAAAACAACAAGGTATCAACATGAAACTTTGTAGGTAGATAGATCTCATTGAGTAGAAGTGCAGTGCAAAAGAATCATAACTCTGTTTTGTCTAATTTTGGAGTTATTGTCCTTTGTTCATTTTTACACTTTGAACTTTGTCCGGGACATAACTCTAAAACTATAAGAGATATCAACATGAAACTTTGTAGGTAGATAGATCTCATTGAGAGGAAGTGCAGTGCAAAAGAACCATAACTCTGTCTTGCCTAATTTTGGAGTTATTGCCCTTTGTTCTTTTTTTACACTTTGAACTTTGTCCGGGACATAACTCTTAAACTTTAAGAGATATCAAAATGAAACTTTGTAGGTAAGTAGATCTCATTGGGTAGAAATGCAAAAGAACCATGACTTTGCCTTGCCTAATTTTGGAGTAATTGCCTTTGTTCATTTTTATACTTTGAACTTTGCCATGGACATATCTCTGAAATCTCTGAAACCATAAGAGGTATCAACATGAAACTTTGTAGGTAGATTTCTCTCATGAAATAGAAGTGCAGTACTTTGCCTTGCTTAATTTGGGAGTTACACTTTGAATTTTGTCTATGACATAACTCTGACACTAAAGAGGTATACTTTCCTGTGTCCAAAACCTATAAAAAAAAAAGCATCACCCGGTTGAACTGGTTCTTGTTTTAAAGGAGCTTCCAATTTTTATGATCATCCATCATATCAAGAGTTTTATGTTAATCATTGTAAAAGTAAATATTTAATCAAAGTAGATTGAATATTTTGATGCTAAATTTTGCATCTTTTTGTTTTTTCTCCCAGAGCTAAGGTAAAGTTGAATAGTTTTAGCACAAGTTTAATAAATTAATTCTAATCTAATGAAAGCTATATTTTTATATTGATTATCATGTCACAATAATTCTTGGTGACAGTGTTTAACTTACAGAATACTAATGCTTTCATGAGTAACTAAACATCACTTTGCATTATTAACTTTTTTTCTCTAATTTATTCGGCTTTCTGCTTTTGTTTTATATTACAGAAACTAATATTTATTTTCTCATTCTGTGTATTCCTATGACAACCTTCACATGATTTACATTATTATTTTGGTATGGGAGATTTTAAATAGATTTTCATATGCATGTATTTATAATTTTTCACATGACATTCCATCAAATTCTTATAGATCAATTCGAAAACTGTTCTAGAATTGCAATTAATCTTTACTTTATGTTCCACGCTCATGTAGTTTTACATTTGACTGTAAAATAGTTTTGTTTTCTGTAGTGAATTAATTAGAAAATAGATAGTATCTTTTATAAACAGTTAAGATAAGACTTGGCAATGCATACTTTACTAGGGGTTATTTCTTTTTTCCAAAATTGATTTTTCCATTTAGCCTACTATCAATATTGTTACTTTTGTTCTTTTTTCCAAAATTGATTTTTCCATTTACTATCAATATTATTACTTTTGTTATATACTTTTCATTTGTTGACTTTACATGCATGTGATGCAATAAAATAAGCTTCCATAACTAAACTTCCATATGAGCCGCGTCACGACAAAACCAACATAATGGGTTTGCGACCAGCATGGATCCAGACCAGCCTGCGCATCCGCACAGTCTGATCAGGATCCATGCTGTTCGCTTACAAACCCTATAACAAGTAGAGAAACTGATACAAACAGCATGGATCCTGATCAGACTGTGCGGACGCACAGGCTGGTCTGGATCCATGCTGGTCGCAAACGCACTATGTTGGTTTTGTCATGACGTGGCTCATATTGACTTTTGGTCGGTCATTCAGTAGCCTGCTTTGTTTCTGTACTTTATACGGATAACTGATTTACTGATTATTTACATTTGTCAATTTTTGGAAGATTATTACAACACAACATCATTATTTAAATATTTTAAAATAATGGTGTTTTTTTCAGGGATCATTGCTAACGAACTGTTTACCTATGCAGCAGTATGGCACATCTAAGTCAAACTCTCTGTTTATGATGGTGCTTCTACTGTCATTCTTCCTCGCCTCGGCACCTATCATATACATGATCGGGAGGTACAAAACTTTATAATTAATCCTAACTTATTTAAATTGATTGTGAAATAATATCAGGTAACTTACTAGAAGCTTAGAGGCTCTGACCCTAGTATTGACCAGACTTCAATGACGATGGCCGAGTGGTTAGGGAAGTTGACTTCAAACCACTTGCCTTTCACAGCTGTAGATTTCGAGCTACATAATCGGATTCTACATTTGAGAAAGCTATCCAGCTAGCTTACAAAATGTTGGTGGTTCTACTCTGAAATAATGCACAGAGGGGCAGCTGAGGTCTTCTTCCACCAGTAACACTGTAAAGTCGCCTGATCTATACTGTGTTGGTAAGATGTAAAACTCAACAAAAAATTGAAACATTACCCTTGACCCTTGGGAAAATCGATTGGTTTTTCTTTTTGGCAAACTTGATTTTTTTGCCTCAGATAAAAATGGAACTCAGCTCTCTTATAATGTTTTACCTTCATCGTTTTATGTCTGCATAATGATAAACTAGGGAATTGAATTCACAATGTAACACATTTTAAGCAAAACATGTAAGTATTCAAGCCAGAATATTACAGGTTTAAAGAACTATTCAACTATATAATTATAATTATTTTCAAGAGAAGAAAATGTTATTAGTCAAGACCTATAATGAAATAAAAAAAATCTAAAAAAATATTTAAAAATTTCAGTCCTGCTGATTGCTTATGTAGTTGTTTTATAAAAATACAATTTGAAATTTTTTTTTTTAAAATTTCCTTTCCAGTTTACCACCATCTCAAAGCTGTGGACCATTCCGTGTACACGGGAACAATAGTTTTGTCATGTTTGACACTATAACGTACCTTGTTGGCAGTTTTGATAAGGCCAAAGATGTTTTCTTCTTTATGGGAACTGGGGGATTCATGGCAATACTGGCTTTGTGCCTATGGTCAGTTCCCTTTGTTGATGAATTTTATAATGATTTTTATTTATTTTTATTTTTACATGTATATATTAGCACATAACTTTAAAAAATGCATTTTTTGGTGTTAGAAATGATAATAAATTAATACATCAGAAATTATTTTGGAGGCACATGTTTATAACCTTCCTTTCTTCAAAATCCTTCCTCCCTTCTTTCATTCAAATTCCTTCCTTTCTTCTGATTCCTTCCTTCCTTTGCATTTGTCAGTACTTTACACCTTTAACCATCGATTTAAGTGGCAGGCTGCTGTTATACTTAAACACTTGCTCTTTATAAATTGTCTTTTTATATTTGGTAGAATTATTATGCAATTTATAATTTCAGTTTATTGATGTATTATTTCTGGATGGTTGGTCAAGCTAACTACAAGCTTTCTAAAAGTCTTCGAGAACAACTTAAGATCGTAAGTACTTTTCCGTTTTTCTTTTTTCTGCTCGTATAAAAAGTAATTCGCTTTTGCCACCTGTATAGAACAAGACCAGCCTGCACATCTGTGCAATCTGAGCAGGCTCTATACTATTGGTAGCTCAATATCTTAATTTGATATTGAAATCCCTTATACTTTAAATGGGCTGTTCCAAATTCACAAAAGGTAAACCCATTACTAAAATTCAGAAGGTTAAAGGTTTATTTATTAAAATGTTTGTGATAATACATTCATATTTTGTTCCACTATATCAGCAAATGACAACTTAATATGTATTGTTATTGTTATGAACCTATACTTTTACAGATATCTTTGACTATAAAGAGTGACATGTTCTAATCTCATATTGTTATGTAACCTTATTTAAAGCCAAAGAAAAACAAAATTAGGACCCCTGTCTTATAAGTGGTCAGTCTTAAAGGTGAGTTAGTACGGTACAATAACATTTTGATCTGCAAAAGTGAAATTTTAGTAAGCTGAAAGACCTAATATCATAAATCAGTGTTTCTTGCATATCAGATTGGAGTTTCTATTAGTTTACCCATGCCAGAAATTTCATCTGGCATTGGGTGATGCCACAAGAGTAGCGTGCTGTACAATGGCATGCTTAGGATGACGTTATTTTACCGTTATGATCAAAGTTGTAATTTCGTATGCTTCTGTAAGGAAATAGTTACGGGTGCAATGACATAAATTTTCATAGAAATTGCTTTATTAAGGTAAAAAAATCTAAAATATGATGGAATATGGTAGAGTATGCAAGAAAAAATATCTGACATATGTCTGTGACTCGGATCGAAATACCCATCCCTTGGGAACCCACCCATGGTCTGGTCCCTTCAGAATGAATATTTCAACCAAACTGCAACATATGACAGATATTATTGATAAATATTGGTGGGCCCATGTAGCGTGGAAAAGCTGTAATTACATTTATTTATTTTTCAGGAGGGTCAGGACAAACAGTTTCTTGTTGCACGTGTTAATGAAGCATTAGACAGGGATTACTAATCGCACGCATGTCACATGATAACTTGAATTTCTTTGTTTGGTGTATAATTTTTTTGCTTCATAGTTTATGATGACACTACTAAACTGTCAAATTACTTGCCAAAATGGAGCATTGGTTATTCATTGGTTGTTACATTTTTTTTTTGTGATTGGTGTTGAATTAATTTGAAAACATTGTTTAAGCCGGTGCTAGAGGCATGAATGGTAACTTACACTTTCTAGGACCATCCTGATGAATAGACTTAAAACAATCCTGCAACATTTCTAATTTTGCCATTTTGTGCGTTCTTTAGGGATTCTGTTTTTCTCTATGTCTTTCAAATATAAATGTAGATTCAATTTTGCAAATTAAAATTTGTGTATGATAAACACTTTTTTTATAAGTAGTTAAAAATATTAATAAAAACTACAGAAATATATCATTTGTATATTCTTGTACAATATTTTTTGAAATATAAATGTAGAATGTTCTTAGTGATTAAGAATGAGAGAATAAACGGATAAGGGTGGTGATGTCTTGATTACCTGTTTCTTACCTGTTCATCCGACATTTGACCTGCATTTCTGCACTGGTCTTTATTATACCTTGAGCCGCGCCATGACAAAACCAACATAATGGGTTTGCAACCAGCATGGATCCAGACCAGCCTGCGCATCAGTGCAGTCTGATCAGGATCCATGCTGTTCGCTTACAAACCCTATAACAAGAAGAGAAACTGATAGCGAACTGCATGGATCCTGATCAGACTGTGCGGATGCGCAGGCTGGTCTGGATCCATGCTGGTTGCAAACCCATTATGTTGGTTTTGTTATGGCGCGGATCCCTTTTGTTCATTGGCATCAGTTGATGGCATCATTGTTGCAGTGGGTTATATTAAGGGATGGGGGCACTGTGGCAATATCAAACGTCTGGCGGCAACAAATTTGTTGATGTTTATTTTGTGTTTGTGGCCGCTGTGACACTCAGTGACATTCCATAGAACATTTAAGATTAAGAATGAACATTTTTATGATGTATAATAATATTTTCAACAAAATTGTCCATGATGTTACAAACCTTTCTTTATGGACCAATTCTTATAAGTCAGATTTGATTGACAAAGAAAGATTTAATTATATGTTTCTATAATTTATAAGGCATTTATTTAGAATCTTTTGCAGTTGTTTGATTAAATGTTTTATTTTTGAAAACAGATTTTAAAACATTTAGGAAATAATTGTTTATACTAAGATCCATTAAATATTTCTGTCAAAAAATTGAACTGTTTTACTTTAACCCTTTCCACTCTAAAAATCTTAAATGGACTTGACCATCTTTCAATCTGGATAAGACCATTGATCTTTTTTAGGGAAAATTTCAAAATATGCACTGAAATATGACTGAATAGCGAATAGTACAGCCCATGATCAGATGGCACAATGGCACAAATGTGCTGGCTAATCTTGGTCTGCACTGGCAAATGGATAAATTCAATTGCCACTGTTAAGTATTAAATGGAAGGAAAGGTAACTTTGTGAATCATAGTACATTTTGTATCTTATAAAAATGGTTTAAGGCCTTCTTACAATGATTATAGTTTTAAATTGAAATTAGAAACAGGTTCAGGAACTATGTAATTATATTTTTGGTACTTTGGTATTAGACATGAACAATTTAAGCTTTTACACACCATCATTGTAATTCGTTGAGTCATTACAGGATTCTGTGTAACCCTTAAAACAATCTGTAATTCAGTCAATTGGTCAAAAGTCAAATTTTCATTGTGAGATTGATTGTGTTTCAATTAATTATAAGTGTCCAGGAAATTTAAGAACAAAGGATAGTACTTGTAAGATCTTATTATCTCTCACTGATATAACAATGAGCACTGTTTCTCTTTGTTAAAATCAGCTGGTTTTTAAACTAAAAATGTTGTAAACTGTAGTTTCTTGTTGAATATTTTCTACTTCGCTCTTTCTTGTTGTTGTTTTATTTTCTAACTAACCAGTATTACATTAGTTTTTGTTTTTCTAATAAATTTGATGTTTGTTATAGTAGCATATGACTAAAACGACATTGAACACTGTCAAATTGAATGACCAAATGGCATTGAACAATGTCAAATGGAATGACCAAATGACATTGAACACTGTCAAATTGAATGACCAAATGGCATTGAACAATGTCAAATTGAATGACCAAAATGACATTGAACAATGTCAAATTGAATGACCAAATGACATTGAACAATGTCAAATTGAATGACCAAATGACATTGAACAATGTCAAATTGAATGACCAAATGACATTGAACAATGTCAAATTGAATGACCAAATGACATTGAACAATGTCAAATTGAATGACCAAACAACATTGAACAATGTCAAATTGAATGACCAAATGACATTGAACAATGTCAAATTGAATGACCAAAATGACATTGAACAATGTCAAATTGAATGACCAAAATGACATTGAACAATGTCAAATTGAATGACCAAACAACATTGAACAATGTCAAATGGAATGACCAAATGACATTGAACACTGTCAAATTGAATGACAAATGACATTGAACAATGTCAAATGGAATGACCAAATGACATTGAACAATGTCAAATTGAATGACCAAACAACATTGAACAATGTCAAACTGAATGACCAAATGACATTGAACAATGTTACATTGACCAACTGACATTGAACAATGTTGAATTGAATGACAGCGAACAATGTTAAATTGAATGACCAAATGACATTGAAAAATGTCAAATTGCATGACCAAATGACATTGAATAATGTCAAATTGAATGACCAACTGACATTGTACAAAGTCTAAATAATATTTTAATGTCATTTTATCTCTGAAACTTGTCCTTTTTATGACATGGTTCATTTTTATGGCTTTGTATCACAGTAATGCTTTTATCAGGTACATAATTTTAAGAAACTGCATTCAAGTGATTTGTATCTTTTTTAGGGAATATGAATTTTAAAAAAGTGCCTGCTTATTTCAAGCGCTTAACTTGCCTACTTATTTCAAGCACTCAACTTGCCTGCTTATTTTAAGCTCTCAACTTACCAGTTTATTTCAAGCACTCAACTTGCCTGCTTATTTTAAGCTCTCAACTTACCAGTTTATTTCAAGCACTCAACTTGCCTGCTTATTTTAAGCTCTCAACTTACCAGTTTATTTCAAGCACTCAACTTGCCTGCTTATTTAAAGCGCTCAACTTACCAGTTTATTTCAAGCGCTTAATTTGCCCGCTGATTTCAAGCGCTTAACTTGCCCGCATATTTTTAGCACTCAACTTGCCTGCTTATTTATAACGCTCAACTTACCAGTTCATTTCTGCTTATTTAAAGCACTCAACTTACCAGTTTATTTCAAGCAGTTAACTTGCCTGCTTATTTCAAGTGCTTGCCTGTGTATTTCAAGCGCTTAACTTGCCTGCTTTTTTCAAGCACTCGACTTGCCTGCTTTTTTTCATGCACTCAACTTCCCTGCTTATTTTGAACACTAATTTACCTGTACAGAGTAAGTCAATGAAGCTGTGATTATTAATTTAGTGTATTAACAGAAGTCATTAAACAGATTTGTTTTAGTTGATTTAGAAAGCGGTAATTATTTAGAAAATGTTATTGGTTATTTGTTGCTTTCACTAAAATGCCAAAAAAACAAATGATCAAAAGAAGTATTAGATATTTTGTGATATGTAGTATTTTTATTGTTGAAATATATTATCAATTATATGTATACAATGGTGCAGAAATGATAGATTGAAAAACTTTACATGAATGTAAATATATCATGTATATGACTATGTGTATTGTGCATATCAAACTTTGTTCATAATAATAAAACAACTTCACAGTATATAAACAAGTCTACTTCCTGTTACATTATCGCAAGAAAGGTACAAGTTAAAATATATAGGCAAAATGAAAGGTACAGCAGTATTTAGAAGTAACAAGTGGCAAGATAAAGTCCACATTGAATTGTATAGGAGCACAGCTTTCACAAGACAGGGTAAAGTGTGACTTTGTTTATCTACTGTGAACTTGTTTTCTTTAACCGATGGCAATGTATTTTGTTTTTACATTAATTTTGGCAATTTATAAAACTATGTACATACATTTGTATATATACTTGAGTTTATTTTATGTTAAAATTTATTGCATGTAATGATGGGAGGCTGGTACATGTATATCTATTATTAGAAAATTGTTTTAAAAAATTCTAATAAAATTTCAGCAGCTTAAATATGTTAACCAGTGTGTTGGCTAGCATGCATGCATGCATGCAGTATAACTTTACTCTGCCATTGGCTGCAAAAATTTACAACTCGGTGTTTGAAATTTCTGAAATTGGCAAAAGACAAGTCTAAATTATAAATACAAATAAATACAAAGTTAAAGGCGCATCATATATGTGGACATGTATACTGGTGCTTATCAGTTTACTCCTGTGTAAAATTGCGAGCAAATGGGAGATTTTTCATTTGATCCCGATTAAAATATTAACCATAAACCTAATGAATTTCTAAAATGGACTGCACCAAATTTTGGAACTATTCATTATAAATTTTGGGAATGTAAAAATGAGAACCATTAACACACTAAATATTTTAAATGGACTTGTCCATTTTTCAATCTGGACAAAATGATTTTTCTGAAACAGTGAATAGAGAACAGTGCAGACCATGATCAGACAGCAAAAATCATGGTCTGCACTAATGTCACTTAGGTAGAATATCCATAACTGCTAGCAGGCAAAGTATTAGATACTGTTACAGTTGTCCAATATGAGCCAGCATAACTGTTTATATGGTTGTACCTAAAAATAATACACGGAGGGGGCACCACCGGAAATTAATTGTAAATCACCATATAACATTTACATTAAATGTGTTTATCTAGTTATGAGTTAAATTTGAAACAGACCATTTAAATAATAATTATCATGTACCAGTCTTTCTTTGAAAATTATTATTATTGTTATTACTAAAATTGTTCAAAGTTTATTTTCTGTAATAAATTTTTTAAACAGTTTAATGTTTTCATGTTATAATTCAAGCCAATGATATTCTCATAGTTTATTAGCTGATTAAGAAGTCATAGTTCATTAGCTTATTTAAGAGCTCGCATAGTTAATAATTAGCTAAATATTAAGAAAATTTATAATGTATACATATGATATACATACATGGCTTTAATTGCAGTTGTTATTACAAGCCGGTATACAATATATATGTATGACTATGAAGAAAGATTGAATTAAACGTGGAAGACATGTACAATTATTTTCCCCCCATTTATTTGTAAATACTCCACATTTGT